CAGGACACTGCGGAGCCCGGAGGAGGAAGGCAGGGCCCCAGTCAGTGCGCCGGCTGCCCTGCTCCTAGGACTGGCTGCCTTCCCGCCGGCCTCTGGACCCTGCCTCTGACCCAAGTGTGGCCCGAGGTTTACCTGGGCCTCCCGCTTCCTCCTCCCTCCAGCCTCTGCTTTGCCACGCGCTGCTCTGTGCCCTTCCCAGAGGCATTCTGAGGCTGAGGATTGTCGGGCAAATAACAGAAGAGTGCCTTCTTGGCGGGGGCTGCACTTAACCAACCTTTGAGGCCCATTTGTTCCAGCCCGGCAGAGTCTGACACATCCCCCAAAGCCCCAGACTGCTTTCGGGGGAGCCCCAGTCAAGGCCTGGGCCCATCCTCAGCCCTCACCGTCCCTCAGCCCAGAGAGAAACCGGGTTCAGCCTGAGACTCAGCAGAACCGGGTGCTCCCAGGCCTGTGCCACTCCCGAGGCGCTCTCTAGGGCCTGGTGCTAGAGATATTGATGCCCTCCCTGCCTCACCTTGTCCCTTAGCACACTGGGGCTGCACTCTGAAAAGCAGGCGTGTGCCTCTGAGCCCTGCCCGGCTGGTGTGACTAAGGTCACTGCTGAGACTAAGCCAGCACCAGCAGACTAAGAAGAAGGGTACAGAAAGCCAAGGCAAGTTGAGCCCAAGCTTTTAAAACTGAAGAGAAACACAGAGTTCCACCAGCTGAGCCTCATTTGATGGAGAGGCAGAAGCGGTGGGAGGTCAACCTCGAACCACCCAGGAGGCAGGTGGAGAGCCCAGGCCCGCAGCCATGGCTGCAGCACAGAGGCCCACCCACTCAATACATGCCCTCCACAGACCCAGGAGGCAGCCACAGGAACCACCAGTGAGCAGCCCAGGCACTCAGACGGAAGCCAAGTCAAAACGGCCTGGCCGGGCGCAGTCTCACACCTGTAATCCCAGCACTTAGGGAGACCGAGGCGGGTGGATCACCTGAGGTCGGGAGTTCGAGACCAGCTTGACCAACATGGAGAAACCCCGTCTCTACTAAAAATACAAACTTGGCCTGGCATGGTGGCGCGTGCCTGTAATCCCAGCTACTCGGGAGGCTGAGGCAGGAGAATCGCTTGAACCCGGGAGGCGGAGGTTGCAGTGAGCTGAGATGGCACCATTGCACTCCAGCCTGGGCAACAAGAGTGAAACTCCGTCTCAAAAAATAAATAAACAAAGCATGGCCCTGTGGCTTCCCTAGCTGCCACCCCCTACCCCTCCCCTCCCCTCCTTCCCTGCTGACAAAATCCAATTTTTTGCAGGTGGCAACTATGCATAGTTTAATCTCAGGAAAGGTAGGACTTTCTACCAGCTCATGAGGAAAGTCATGATTGATTTAAGTCCTCCCCGTTCCTCTCCCCCGCCAATAAGCTCACTTCTGTATCCCAGCCCTTCTTTCTGTGAGGCCGTCAGAGGCGTCTGAACCAGAGCAACTCCATGTCAAATAGGGGCGGGTAAAATAAGAATGAGACCTACTGGGCTGCGTTCCCAGATGGTTAGACATTCCGAGTCACAGCATGAGCTAGAAGGTCGGCACAAGATACGGGTCATGGAGGCCCTGCTGATGAAACAGGTTGCAGTAAAGAAGCCGGCCAAAACACCAAAACCAAGATGGCCACAAGAGTGACCTCTGGTCGTCCTCATTGCTACGCTCCCACCAGCGCTGTGACAATTTACAAATGGCATGGCAATGTCAGGAAGTTACCCTGTATGGTCTAAAAAGCGGAAGCATGAATAACACACCCCTATTCAGCATATAATCAAGAAATAGGCCAGGTACGGTGGCTCATGCCTGTAATCCCAGCACTTTGGGAGGCTGAGGCAGATGGATCACGAGGTCAGGAGTTCAAGACCAGCCTGGTCAACATGGTGAAACCCTGTCTCTACTAAAAATACACAAATTAGCCAGGCATGGTGGTGCGTGCCTATAATCCCAGCTACTCGGGAGGCTGAGGCAGGAGAATCGCTTGAACCCAGGAGGTGGAGGTTGCAGTGAGCCAAGATCACGCCACTGCACTCCAGCCTGGGCAACAGAGTGAGACTCTGTCTCAAAATAAATAAATAAATAAAAAGAAATAACCATAAAATTGGGCAACCAGTAGCCCTCAAGGCTGCTCTGCCTATGGAGTAGCCATTCTTTTTTTCTTTACTTTCTGGATAAACTTGCTTTCACTTTACCCCGTGGACTCACCTCAAATTATTTCTTGCATGAGATTGAAGACCCCTCTCTGGGGTCTGGATTGGGACCCCTCTCCAGGAACAAGACGGCTCTCTGGCTGCATTCTCCAGAGGCTCTGGGGAAGGAGCCCTGCTCCTACACACTCCCTTTGTGCTCAGACAAGGTGCCTGGCCTCGCACACACTCTTGCCGCCATCAGGTAAAAAGCTGGAGGCTGACAAGCCAACACTCTGGGGCCGTGGGAGCAGAAAGCCAGAAGTCTGACAGTCCTAGGCCTTCATTCCATTGTTTGAGCCCTAGAACTACCCATCTCCAGGCGGTGGCGAGGTATCCTCTCGCCTCAGCGGAAAGCATTTCTGACCCAACTTTCTGCAACCATTTGGCTCCAGTAGGTTGAAATAATCATAGCTGTCTTCTCATGGCATTAATATGGACAGTATACGGAAAGGAAATGTAAAGCTCCAGAAATAAAAAGGCCTCCAACAGTGTCTAGTCAAGCCACAGGTGGCATCCCTTACCAAATTCTTCTTCTCTCTTGGGGTTCTTGGCGTACGTAGCTTTGCTCACGCCCAATCAGCTTCTAGACTTCCGATCTGGAGGCGCTGTCCCAGGATTCGTTGGGATTTCTTCAGTTCCAAGTTAAAGACGCTCCAAACTAACTTGACATGGAAATGGATTGACTTACAAAACTGAAAAGCCCGAGGGTTGCCATCTAGCTCCAGGCAAAGCTAAATTCCAGGGACTCAAAGATGTTGGCTCGCTCTCTCTCCCTGCCCTCTCCATCCTGCCTCTTCCTCCACTTCCTCCTCCACTCATACTCCTGCCCTGCTTCCCCCTGGGCTTTCAGGCAGGTGAGGGCGAAAATGAAAGCACCAGGTGATGGTTCTCTCCTCCTTTTCCTTGCGGCCACTGACCACCGTCCATTCCCCAGTGAAGAGAGCTTCTCACTCTCCACGTGAGGCTCACCAAGCTGTTGACTGGTATCTTCTAGCTGTGAGTTAATTTACTGTTTTTTGGATTTTGTTTGTTTGTTTGTTTTTGGTTTTTTTTGAGACAGAGTCTCACACTGTCGCCCAGGCTGGAGAGCAGTGGCGCAATCTTGGCTCACTGAAAACCTCCACCTCCCAGGCTCAAGCTATTTTCCTGCCTCAGTCTCCCGAGTAGCTGGGACCACAGGCGCCTGCCACCACGTCCAGCTAATTTTTTGTATTTTTAGTAGAGACGGGGTTTCACCGTGTTAGCCAGGAGGGTCTCGATCTCCTGACCTCATGATCCACCCACCTTGGCCTCCCAAAGTGCTGGGATTACAGGCGTGAGCCACCACGCCTGGCCTAGAAATTATTTTCTTAAAAAAGAGGATTAATAAAAGCTATACATACTTAGTCTCCTTTTTCTCTCAGCTTCTGTAGAAAACATAAAATTAAAGTAATTATTATAACAATTTATTGTTGGGCTTGTAACATTTATGGATGTGATAGTTATAGTTATAACAACTAATATTCCGCAAAAAGGAGGGAAAGGGAAAAAAGCTATATAGGAGTCATGTTTCTTTTTTTTTTTTTTTTTGAGACGGAGTCTCACTCTGTAGCCCAGACTGGAGTGCAGTGGCCGGATCTCAGCTCACTGCAAGCT